GGGGGGGGGGGGGGGGGGGGGGGGGGGGGGGGCATTTATGGTTTTGGGCCTGAGGCGCAAACCTCATTAGCTTCGCCATAGGACCGTGCCTGGATTGGATTCACTATGTAAGTTAAGGATTAAACGTATTTAAATCTTATGAGGGAGAAAATATGTTAAAATATATTTAGTATGCTAAGGTCCATCAATACACGTTAATAATATGGAACTTACACGTCTATCAAGAGCTAAGTGAATATTTCTATATTATGAATTCGATCGACCTTATAGAGATCATGTTAAAAAGATATAAATAACGCAATAAAGGGCACACCATAACTTAAAATATGTCGTATAACACTGTACGAAAAGTCGTACGTTGTGTTTATTTAAGTCTACACAACAGTTGGCCATGATAGTATAACTCAAGATTTTTAAATAAAGCTCACAATGTGTGGTTATTATTCAAGGATGAGAAGCTTTATGTATACTCGATGGACAAAATAAATAAAATTAGTTTATGTTTGACCTTATTTCTTCAAATTGGTTTTTTTTTTCCCCCCAAATTCATTGCCAATAATACATTTCATTGAATTCATAATTTTTTTTATTAAGGCCCTGTTTGATTCTCATTTTTATCAAAATACATGTTTCTTTTTTTAACAATGTATTTTTCATTAAAATAATATTACACGTAAATCAAAATTTTTAAAAATTTTTCATCCACACATTCTCCATTAATCGACTATTCTAAAATTCATTTTAAGATAAAATTGGAGCTCAAACACCCTCTAACTTTTTAAACACACATTTTATTAAAATCTATTAAAAATCTGATTTTCAACTGCACCAAATAAAGAATTAGTAACATAACAGATGACCAAACATTTGCTAAAATCACAAACTTTCTTTTTCATATATTTTATAAGATCTATAAATACTATGAACTTATTCATCATTTATCTATACCTTTCTATAAACACAATCTCAAAACATATGCCATAATGGGAGAAACATAAATACATTAAAAAAAACAAATAATATCGGGTTTGACACGCTGACTGGCTGTTGGGCTGGTGGAGCTTTACCCGACTGCATTACCCGAACAACCCATCATTAGATTCGTGTTCACCTTCTTCACCTTTTCCCCACCGCCGTGGCCTATACATCCACTCTACTTGTATCTATCTTTCCCCCATTAAAATCCAAAACCTGACATTCTTTTCCCCTTCAACCGAATTTCTTAAACTTTCCCCTTTCCTTTTCCATTGGGTTCTGATTTATCTAATTAATTGAAAAAAGAACCCATTTTTTTTTTCCCAATTAATCCACTTCTATACATCTGTTATTGTGCAGATCAATGATTTTGGATTCCGTATTTTGAAAGGAAAGGAATTAGACGTAGTATGGGCAATATTGGGAGTAGTGGGGTGCAAGGGTGGAGAAGGAGCTCGAGTGGACGGAGCCACCCGCCTCCGCCGCCGGCGCCGCCTCCACAGACTCCGCAACCAGAGATCACCGCGAACAGGTATGTTTTTGCGGCAGCGACTCCTTACCCTTCATCCCAATACCCGAACTCCAACTTTCCTGCTTATTACCAACAGTACCCGGGGTACTACCCGCCTCCTCCACCGTCGATGCCGATGCCTCTACCCGCACCACATGAACACCAACACGCGGCTGCCCATGCCAATTGGGTTAACGAGCGGTACCCGTATGGACCCATGATGCAGCCTCCGGCAACATGTGTGGAGCACCAGAAGGCTGTTACTATTCGAAACGATGTTAATTTGAAGAAGGAAACTCTAAGGATCGAGCCCGACGAGGAGAACCCTGGAAAGTTCCTCGTTGCTTTCACTTTTGACGCCACAGCTGCTGGAAGGTATGATAAGATTTATTTTGTATTTTCTTGAATGTTTTTTTCACCAGGGTTTAGTTTTTGTGGGTTTATGGTCATATTGGTAGACGAGAATTGAGATTTGATTATAGAATTGGATAACCACGAGAATGATTCTTGAGATATTTATGAAAATGACTTCATGAATTCACTTCAGCAATACTGCAAAATTTGTTGCTTTTGCTCACTCAATATTGGTCTTTCCATTGGAGAATAGTTTCGAAAAACTTAAAAGTTAAAACGAATCAAATGTTAAATATGCTTTCTTTAATCCTTTTATTATTTCCTTTTGAGGCCAGAGGGTTATGGATGTTATAGAGCGGATTAGGGTTTTGCAATTGTTTATTTGATGGGTACATTGGCTGCGTCCCTCGTTTCTTTGTGAGCCGAGGCTCAGAATGTCTGTGATTTGGAATCATTATGCTTTTAAATCTGTCTTTGGCAAGTTCATGATCAATTCACGAAACTGAGCAGTTCTTTTCTTGTGTGTGCGTTATAGTCCAATTTACCTTAGATTATTATGAAATGTAGAAAAAGATATATGATCAAAGGTTTCCAATTACCATTTTGGGAACTTAGGCCTGAATTTACCTGCAAATTGAGTTTGGGAAAGTAGTTTTTATGTCTGTTTCATTCTTGTTTTTGGATTCTCTTACAGAAGACAACGATCATTTCTTGAGTTTCATTTTTCTTGTAATATGCAGCATGACCATAGTTTTCTTTGCTAAGGAGGGTGAAGACTGTTGCCTGACTCCAATGAAAGAAAGCTTACTTCCGCCTATTACGATAAATTTTCAACAAGGTTTGGTACAGAAGTTTAAACAGCCCTCTGGAACTGGGATAGACCTTTCAATGTTCGAGGGCGCAGAACTGTCGAAAGTTGGTGACACGGATGTGTACCCTCTAGCAGTTAAGACAGAGGCTTCCATAGATAACGAAAATGGAAACCCAGATATTGGATCCAAGAATTCCCAAATAACCCAAGCCGTGTTTGAGAAGGAGAAAGGTGAATATCAGGTTCGGGTGGTGAAGCAAATATTATGGGTTGATGGCATGAGATATGAACTACAAGAGATTTATGGGATTGGAAATTCAGTTGAGAGTGATTTTGATGGGAATGATCCTGGAAAAGAATGTGTCATATGCCTTTCAGAACCCAGAGACACGACTGTCCTGCCTTGTCGACATATGGTACTTTTTATCTCTCTCTCTCTCTCTCTCTCTTATACACATACCATGGCATAGATACATGTGTGCACTCCAAATTGGTCATTCCTAGCTTGTGAAATGCATGCATAATTCTTGTCACTTCTCTTGATGCAGTGTATGTGCAGCGAATGTGCAAAAGTATTGAGGTTCCAAACAAATAGGTGCCCAATTTGCAGACAGCCAGTCGAACGGCTTTTGGAGATCAAGGTCAACAATGGGACTGATCACTGATGAATGAAGAAGATTAGCTTCTGCTCTGTGCTTCAAAGTTTTTACATTTTTTGTGTGTTTTTTTTTTTACCCTTTTCTACAACGCGTCCTGCCCTTGGTTCCTAGATTTCAATAATCAAGATTGGATATCTCGATGGTATGCAATGTGTCTAAAGCATGGATCTAGTTCACGAAAACTGGATATGCTGTATGCAATTTCCTTGATATGATTTTGGGGAGTGGTGAGTGCCATTTCCTGTTGCTCACAATTGTTCAATACAAGATGTATAGAACGTTTGGCTTGCTTTCAATTACTGGTTCGACTTATGTTATTATTCTTTTAATTTCTTGTATATGCATGACATCTTACCTTTGGAATCTTATCCTAAAAAAGTTATGAAAAATCTGTCATGCAGTTCACGATGATGTCCTTTGTTTTGATGGAGTAATGCATATTTGTACCCTACCCCACCCCTTTGTTTTCTTATTCCTTGTGAAGTAGAGAATATACTTTGTTTGATGGGACAAAACTGGGTGGAGATAAAAGTAGAGGTTATCATTCTATTTGGGAAAAATTATAGAAAAAGGACAATTTTAAGTGCCAAATTGACCAACCCCACTTCAATGTGTGCTAAAAATTAGATTTTTAGTGGATTTCAATAAAAGTTTATGGAAATGTGTCTTTGAAAAGTTGATAAAAGTTGTGATTTTCATAAAATGTTTGGTTTGACTTAAATTTTTATCTCATACCACATAACTATTGCTAGGCATAGAGCCCACATTCGATTTCGTTAGTTTGGCCGTGCACTAGTATGAGATGATGGTGAATGTGTGTTAGCTTGATGAATGAAAGGTTTGCCTTGTTTTGGGATAGTAGGCAAGTTTCGATACTTAGATCTGTCCCTCTTTCAACCGATGCATTTTTATTATTTATTATTATTATTATTTTGCTGTCTGTAGAGAGGCCTTAATTTCAATTTGCTGCTGCTGCTGCTGTGACCTTCGATCTCCAGGCTCAAGGCAACTAGGAGACGAGCTCAAAACCAACATTTCTAGTTTAACTTAAATACAAATTTAAATAAAAAGTTCTCTGTCATTTTCACTAGCTTGGTTTCCTCTCCTCCAAATTCCAATGCATCGATTCGAGTATAATTTATCCACAAACCAAATGAAAGTTGGAAGCAATGTCGATGGGGTCTGTATTCGCAATCAAATTGTCAATCATGGCTTCCAATGTTTGATGGCTACAAAATTCCTCTTATGCTTTGCTTCTCACTTCAGCAAAGTTAGATCTATTTGAGTGTCACTTTGACTTTGTTGTAGTGAAAATTAACGGAAAAAGGGGTCTCAATCATTACACTATTAGTTGAATTCTTTTAACTTTGGATGATTATCATCAACAATCAAGAGCGTGTTTGATTGTCAATATTTTTCTTGACAAATGTTAATTTTTTCATTTAAATTTATATTGTTGTATTGTTTGATTGATATGTTTCTCAATGGAAAATATTTTTCTACTTTTGATCACTTGATTCTTTGAAAACAAGGAAAATATTTCTTTATGAAAAGTAAGTTTTTATTTTCTAAGTAATTTACTCTCTCTCTCTCTCATATACTCACTCTCCCTCTTTCCCATATATCTACTAATAAAAAATGGAAAATCATAACATTTTCTAATTTAATTGTCTAAAATTTATTTTCTTTCTATGTAAATTCCATTTTCGCAATAAAACACGCTCTAAGTATAAATCTTAGTCACATGCCAACAATAAATATGTATTACATTTGTAACTCGACCATATCTTGGACACTTTTTCCTTTAATACAATAAATTTGTATTCAAATAAATAGTTAAATACTCTATATTTTCAATTGAAGACAACCACGCCATGAACAATAACACAAGTCTATATTATCATTATTTTCTGAAGAAAATAAGCAGATTACGAAAATGAGAGAGTTGACACCGGAAGAAGTGTACACTGGCGCCTTTTCCGTCGCACTATTCACCGTAACCTGCATATTTCAAGCTCTCAAGCGTCCTCCTAAAGTTGCGTTATCTCTTTGGCTTCTTGTAACAATTATAATTGTCTCTTTATTTTTTGTCGGATTTAATATCAAAAATTTTAAGAATAAGAAACGGGAGCCTCTGATAAGGCCAGAAGATTAATGGAAAGATTATGAAGATTTACCTGAACAATAGTAAGGAAGTAGATTTCTATTTTATTTGGAAGAAATAATTTCAATATGGGGTGTAACTTCTTTTATCAATAAATTATTAATCCTCCCGTTTTTTGATTTCATTTTGCTTCATTATTCCCTTTGAACTGCACGATAATGGAAACAATTTTCTGCAGAGGCTTCAATCAATCAAGCAAAATTTGTCATATAACAGAGACAAGAAACAAAAAAATAAATTTCAAATGCACAACTTCACTTCAATTATTTTGTCGCGTCTTTACGAAAACTCTCGTATACTTACAAAGTGCTTGTGCGTTCTTTCTCAAACTCATGGTGTCTCCAATCGCGTTGTCAAACCTGGCTATACAACTAGCTTCGTCAGTTAATCTTGTCGCACATGAGTCGACATCAAGATTCTGAGAAAAACTCGCAGAGATCGGTAAATGGCAACAGCAGCATCAATCAATCGACTTACTCTCAAAAAATCGTGCTTCTGCATTCTCCTGTGATTGTTCCGTTATTGTTTGCAACTAGAACCGATAACTTTACCTGATATCGAAGGTTTTTCCTTCAAGCTTGTGCTCAACAGAGGATCAGAATTGCTCGACTGACTTTCAGCAAAACCGGGTCTCATCCAAATCTTTATGTGTCCCTCTCGGGATACGGTAAGAATGGACTCCTGAGTGAATATCAAACCAGAGAGAGGTTCTGTGTGAATACGATGAGCAACCAGTGGAGAAAGCTTAGGAACATCTCGCATGCTTGGAGCGGGTCGTAAGGTACCCACAGGGCAAGCGCTGTCCCAATGAGATGATTGGCTCCCAGTACTGAAAGTGGGAGATCCACCAGAAGGGCGACGAACTGGCACTACAAGCTCACCCATTTCCAGATCCCATAAAAGCAATCGTGTGTCCTGCGTCAGATCGAAAAATTTTTGAACGGTGTAACACCAATATATTGTAAAAGGAAAGCAATGTAGGAAAAGCAGAATGCCAGACCAGAAAAATGTAGAATTACTGATAAGTCCAATGAGTATAAAAATTGAAGCATGGAGGCAAAAGGCTCCAAGAGAAGTAATAGTAATCCCAGTAAACACCCAGCTGATGTTCGTTACCTCCAAGATGTTAAAATCCATGATGTTCCATCATTGTGTCAGAAACGAGGCAACTAACAGTTTGGCAGATTTAAAATTAAGGCCTAATAATAGCTTTATGAGCAGGATGAGTGACTTCTCATTTGAAGTAAATGAACAACCAAGTACTTGGGGAGCCACAATAAAGACACAATCATAATCATGAAATAATGAAGAGAGTCGTTAGACTCTTCTGGAAATGAGGCGGCCGTCCCTGAAATCTGCTGATTAAAGCAGGATAGACAGATGTATATGATTTTTATTCTAAAACGACCCAATTCATTAACTGAACTAGTAATAATGTTGAGATACCTGACCAACAGAACCAAACCGATATACAACATTTTCCCCGGTGCCATCTGAATTTGGCGCTGACCAATATGAATCAAATGCCACTCCACTAACCTGCCATAATCCAGTATAAGATGAGCAGGCAATCATGATTGCTACATGAGAAACTAAGCAGAAAAATCAATAATCTGTATAACTTGGTCCCTAGTATGCGTATCAAGTAGAGCAATGTGTCTGAATTCATGTTTATCAAACCTCTAATCACGAGATATTTGGAAATAGAAAGACATTAATCCCACGTTCAATTTGGCAGGAATTTTATGTGACAAAGTGAAAACATGCATATTGGCTGTTTCTCATCGCTTTGACTCTCAAATTTAGTGGCTAATGATCTATAGGAGACACATCAAATACTAGATTTTTGAAAACGAAATGCCTAATTTCAGAAAAAGGACATACCATGTAGGTGTTCCAAAAGAAATTTCCAAGTTTAAGGCAGATAAAAAAATATCAAATACACGTCCCATATTCTAGTGCAAGTATCAGGTGAAATTTAGAACAATCACATAATATAGCTATTTATGGCCAAGTACTCACCCACGAGTTATGTCCCTCACCCCATGCAACAACCTTTCGATCTTCCATGCTCCAAACTTGAACTAGGTCATCCTCACCTCCAGTCAGAATATATTTTCCATCCATGCTGTAGTTTTACTTGCCATCAGTTACTCCATTCTCATATAATATGACTACTAACAATATGCTTAAACGAACAATAGCTTTCGAAAGGAGACCAATTAATACAGAGAATAAGAATAAAGTTGAACACCATACATAATCCTCAGAAAAACAAAGTATACTCACCTCCAAGCACAACATAATAAAGCACCATAATAGCTCTTTCCGCCACATATTAATTGTTCATTTTTGTAGTCAAACACTCGCAAATAACCTACATTCATCAATTCCCCTCATCCTATAAATTGCTGATGGAGATGAGGAACGAGAAAGGGGAAAAAAAGAAGATATCCAAAGAAATAAAAGACACGAGATGTTGAAAATACCATCCCTTCCTACAGTTGCCATGAAGACCCCATCAGTTGAAAAGGCAACGCTATTTATTGAACCTTGGCAAATATGCCATCTAGCAACTGGATTCTGTGTGAATTAATTCAAAGAGAGCGTTAGAGCAAAATACCACATACAGAGATATATGTTATACATTAACATCATAAAACCACGAGCAAACCCAATGGTAGCATTTGCCTCCATTAATAAGATCATTGTTGGCAATGAATAAGGAAAAAAGGGAACAACAAATAAATTACAACTGTAGTGTAGTCTAAGAGGAGCATTCATTATGTTCTCAAATTACATCACCACTGTATAAAGTCAAATATATGAGTTCTAGTGAATGTGGTTTTTCACAGCCCATATGACAAGACCAAGTGTACCAACAGATTCCCTATACAATAACAAACTGTTGTTCCCAATAAATTTGCAACATGAATCCTTTTTCACCAATGCGGTTAATTGTTAGAACTAAAATTAATCTTTAACCAAATATGCAAAAAGGAAAAAAGAAATTACTCCTCAAATACCCTTTTATGTGCATTATTCCTTCTTCAATCTTGAGCTGTGTCATTGATTAACTGATGATACACTACAGGATGCATAATCAACCATCAGAGGTACAGTGCTCAGCCTATCATATTATTAATATTGAGAATACGCATTTACAGCACTAATCCCACAACCAACCATGTTCACATAAAAATAAACCGTTCATGGGTAAAAAATTTCCAGTCTTCCTAAAACCAAAGAAAAACACTGGTTTAGTTCATTCTTTGAGTCTTTTTAACCACTTCAGTTGAAAGCACATAACTAATCAATACAGTACATAAAACTGGTTTCAAATTATCCTACAATCTTATGTCTCGACAAATAAGTCTTTTTTCAGAATTTAGAGCAAATATTGATCAAAATTTTAGAAATCTTCAAAGATTAGCCAAAAAGATTTAATTGAGTTTTCATAATTATAGAGTGAAAATGATAATACTAAAAAAAAGGTCCAACAATTTGCAGTCAATTGAGCAAATATGTCTTTATTATAGTATTCAATTGTGGTGGTGCCGACACCTCATTGACCATATATAGCCCTCGTTTGATTCTTATTCTTATAAAATATAGTCGTTACGGGACCCACGCAAAAGAGTGGAAGTCAAATAAGGTAGTTTGATGTGATGGATAACAGTCATATTTTTTCATTTTTGGGGACAAAGAATGGGAAACAAACGAGGCCTAGTAAAAGGTGTCAAGCAGTAAGGAGATAAGAAAACAATAAAAAGAAAAGAAAAATTGAACACAATGAGCCCTAACTGTCGCATGGCCCAAAGAAGTATTTGACCCCATAACCACTACAATACGGATAAGCCGATATGACTTTCAAAAAGAATTAGGATAAGTCGATATGTGTCATAAAATTCAACATAATTGCATTAATATAAAAAAAAAAAAAAAATACAGAAGCATGATTATAAAAATAAAATAATATACTAGATCACTTTTTCTTAATTATTAATTGTCGAAACTTCATTTACTTCAACACCATCAACATCAATTTCTTCATTATCGTTAAAAATAACATTCTCCAACTCTAGCTCATCTAATGATGGATTAACAATCTCAAATAGTCCAATACCTTCAAGAGGATAAAATGAGTATCAGACAATTTCCACATTATGGATTCTCCTTTTGAATAGAGATCTAATTTTATTGATAAAAGACACGAATTGGTATAAATGAAAATCAATTTTTCCGCTCGTTGTGGAGTTATTTTATTGCTTCTCGTAGAGTGTAAAAAAGAGTACGTACTCCAATTTCTTTCAGCACAAGATGAAGAAGAAGGATGTAGAAAGTCTCAAATAAATGTTGTAGCAAAGGTGCATGTGAAACATAAAGTAGCCAACAGGTTTTTGTATTAGAAGGTTGAATAATATTGTGCATTTTCAATAAACAGTCCAGTTGTTAATTTTAAAAAATCTAAGTGTGTATTTTCAATAAATATTATTGATATTCAATAAGTTATTAAAATAATTTAAAAAATATAGATTGGATACGTATAGAAAATTTAAAAAAAAAAAAAAAAAAAATTCGTATCGGAAAATTTAAAAAATATAAAAACATATAAAATAATTAATAAACAAGCATCCCATACGTATTGAAGGTGATCGAAGAGTATCAGAACTTGATTACGTATCAGATACTGGTACGTAACAAGTTTACAAGTATAGGTGTTTCTTAGGTTCAAACAAAAGGCAACACCTGTTTACCAGAGAATCACAGGACCTTTAAACCTCAAAGGACACATTTAAACAACACAAACAATAAAACAACACAGACAATATTATGTTCTCTCCTTAAAGCTAGATAAAAAGCCATCTGACTAATACGATAAAGTTAGCGATCCAGTCGACTTAATTTTTGAGAAAAGAAAGATTCCACAACAAGAAGGGACCACACAACAAGCGGTACCTTACTGTAGCGGGCATGTGCTACTGAAAATTGAGTTTGATCCTTGATAACAGGGAACGAAGGATCTCCGGAACCATCTTTGCTCTGAAATTAATTACAGGACTCATGGGTTTCCTCTAAACTTAGGAAATTAAGAGGAATATATCAATTCATATCAAATAAACTTGAACTTGCCTTTTCATATACATACATATTTCCATCCGCATGGCCAACTATGAATGTTCCATCACCATTAGGAACCCACGTGATGCAAGTACAGCGGCTGTTGTAAGAAACATAATATGTGGTCAGATAAGAAACAATAGACATCACTTGAGAGATCTCGATATATTCCATAGTAAAGAATGGCTAAAATCAGCTGTAAGTCCTTAAATTTCATAAACTTATATACACCTCATATGCTCAATTGGTATTTAAATTGGTAAACAGAACAAGATAATGGTCTTTCACCACCAAAAAAAAAAAAATCTACCATCCCCATGAAATCATTTTTTTTTTTTTTTTAAATTTCAGAAACATAACTATTCAACTTGGTGTTTACATATTAGCTTCCTAACAGAAGATGCACAATAAAATAATTGATGATGCTTCACGGCATACTATTGGAATTTCTGCAGCTTGTCAGTCATTCGAGGCTTCCAGCTTAAGAAATCACTCTGGACAGTTACAGCACAGTTCAGCAATAGAATCTTAAGGTCTTTTGAAGAATATTCTGTGTGGAAACTCTGACTTTGCTAGGAGAACAACTTTCAATTGCACGTCTATTCATGTTCAAACTCCATTCTAGTACAGCAACAGAAAAATGAAAAGGCCAGCTTCTTAGATAGAAAGTGACTCTAGATGTTCAACAAAGCATAATGACTAGATACAAACTCAACTAGAGAGATTTTTATTTTACATGTATGTGTGTGTTGACTTTGAATTGAGATTATAATTCGATTTAATCTATATCGAACAGGGGCCAAATTTTTAAAATTTTTTTAGGAGGTTGGGGTGTTGGGCGTAGGTGGAGGGTGAAGAAATTTATAACTTATTCCAAGTGAAAAGAACTTACTCATACAATGTAAAAGGAAGGTGTGCGTCTAACCCCGAACAATTCATAATGAGAACGAGAGAAACGCAATGTGGAACTTAGATTGTTTCATTTTAAGATGGAAATCTTCATAAAAGAAGTTCACAATATAAATGCCAGGTGCCAGTATTCATGTTCAAAATGATACTCAATTCCAGTGCCACAGAGGAGAGAGATAGTACATTGGAGAGTATAAACAGATATAGGTAAAATCTCTCAAGTCCCGAAGTATTGCAATGTAAGCACAGTAACACAGAATCCAGTGTTGTACTGGGAAGCAATCTCCATCTTATGACAAACAAAAGATAAACTATCCACACACTTCCTGCTCAATTTACAAGCTGACAAACATTTAAGTGGATGTCTCACACCATTGCTTCAAAAATTGCATCAAACAAACACAAGGACAAAGAGCTTTTTAACACTTCATCATTATAATAATGTTATAACATCAATGTCAAGAAAAATTGCAGTGTAAGAAAAGGATTTGAGCTAAAAGAGACCTTCAAATGTTCAGATTTCTTTCTTTATGGCAAAAAATAACGGGAATATTCAACAATGCTAAATGTATTAACATACAGAAGTATCATTATATGCTACAATTGGGCTTCAGAAGGTCTTAAAGGAAGATGTAGCAACCACTGAATACTTAATCCAACCAAATAGATGTTAAAAAATAATTAGAATAGGCCTATTAACTAATTACGATAATCTAAAAAAGATTCCATTTCATTCTGAATTCAGAATGCAGCAATTGTTATTCTAGGTAAACTAAATGTGATGTGTTCTCTAATTTTATCTCAACTCAAATGTTATATTCTTGGCCCTTAGTTCTGTGCATTATCACCTTAATTTAGACAAAATCATTCGATGATATAAATGCACACGGCAGCACCATATTACATCGACATCCAACGTTGCTACTTCAATCACTTCTATCAGTGCATTCAAATTAAATTTAATCATTTTTCTAGGCACATCTGATTGGATACTCGTTTAAAATGCCATCAAATCACAAATTTGCAGTTTTTTTGAACATCTAATTAGATATCAATCAGAGAAAGAAGGAACTGGAATTGCAGGTGAAGTCTTCGATAATGATATATCTTTTCATATTTAGAAGAGATGCAGACATGGATGCCGAGGTGAAACTTCAACTATAAAAGACTATAAGGCCATACCCTGTATATTAATTGATAATTAAACCTGTTGTAATAAATGCTCAACACACAAACCCACAACTAAGGAAGAATAAATACCAAAAAGTAAAGTTAAAAAACAAGATTCAATTCAAGCAGCTCCAATTGTTAATTAGCTATATGTATAGCATATAGCCAATCTAAACAAAGAAACTTTCATGTGTGTGTGTTCTCTTTTTTTTCTTTTTTTTCTTAGTGTTCTCCTTGACTTTTCAGCAGCAAACAAGCAATCTCCGAGTTGCTAACATTTTTTTATTTTAAAACTAAATTGCAAAAGGCGAACCTTTTTAGTACCATATATGATTTAAACGTCGCAAAGATTATAGGACCCAAGAACCTGTAAGAATTGGAAACATGCTTTATGGCAGGATAAGAAATCAATGAACTTAAAGACTATCTATACATAACAAGAAAATTCAATACATGTTATGGAGATGAATATATGTAAAAATCCATAAACATTTTGCAGGAGAACACAACACAAACAACAGAGTCAAGAACATGCCTGGTGTTAATGGAACCATCTTTATTATAATGCTGAGCTCCAACAAGCTTCTTCCCTACTTCCTGTAATTGTTGTCTTAGAGCCACGGAGTAAACTACAGAAACCAGAAAACAAATTTCATTTAGTGAAAACAGAGAACCGCTTACACCAGACCATTTTAAAATTCTAAAAAGAAGGCTTACCGTCTCCAGTGTTCAAACCAATAAGTAAATCATGCCCGTCCTTTGCATCAGGGTCAAATGCGTGGCAAACAGGATTTGAATTACCAAAATGTATAGACTTAATAGGATCCTATGCAGAATAACAGACCTCTCAAAACCAACCCATAGCGAATCTCATAATAAAAGAGAAAGCATATAACCACTAGTACCTTATCCTGAGAATTTAAGTCACTAATGAAAATTGCATCACCAACATTGAACACCAAGTAAGTCCCTTTGCCATCAAAATTTGAACTGCCAACCACATTATTCGAACTTGAAGCCCCTAATGAACCAATTCTACTGCTGGCACCAGTCACTGACTTACTCCCACCATTTCCACCAACAAAACTAAGTGCCCTACTCCCATTTCCACCACCCAAGAACCTTGCTGCCGCTGACCTCACACCACTGTTTACACCCAAACTTGAAGATGACTGTGATTGTGTCTGCACAGGCTTATCCTTGAGATGGGCTAGCGTTACCTGACCATCAATTAACCGAAATCACTTTAAAGTCTGTTCAAGTTTTGATTTTCCGAAACTGTTCCACTGAGGAAAATAAACAAGCCATGCTTAGGAGAGACGGCGCAAGAACAATAACTGAAATCTTTTTCTGCTATGTTTGAACTAAATTTTTGGTATCACAAATAAGTTTCAGGAGAAGATTTAAATCATAAGAATTACATTAAAGCTTAAAAGAACCCAAATTAAAAGTACAAAAATTACAAAAAGAACTTCACACGTGAACCACAAGTTCTCTTATTAGTGTGATTGTTTGCATATTGTACTTAAATGGCATAAATTTTCATACAGTATGTGAAGCCAATTAATAATTCTTTAACTACATAACTCTTCTACTTAGCCTTGATCAAGGAGCCCAAGTCAAAATCTTTGTTCACTAGAAGAACGTCTGGCTAATCAGGGAACCACTCGGAATCAAAAACCCATTTCAAACTAAAATCTGAAATGAAAATTAACAAATAATTATAATTGTCGTCCAGAAGAAAAAGTTAGAATTAACCAATAGGCCACTCGGAGAACCCAATCTCTAACACCTCAAGCCACTATGAAGTTTCTCGGAACTCAAGTTTGCAAAAAGCTAATCTGAAGATGTAATTGAATAACACAAAATTAAAAAATAATAAATTATAAAACCCTAGAACACGAGGAGAAATCGACCAACCTGAGTGACTGTTTTGCCGTGGCCATAGTGAAGAAGACCAGAAGGGTGAGTCTTTTCATACTGGAGTTTGTACTTGCCTTCTGGAGTCTTGAAATACGTCTTCAAACCAGGCGACTGAGCGTTATTTCCAGACGCCGACGCCGAAGACATCATAGTATTACTCCCCGCTGTATTCATCATCTTCCTTTCACCAAGAAATCAACTCCCCAAATAAAAATGTCCAGATTACAACAGGATCCCGTATTCCAATTGAGTTCCTTCTTTCTGGGTAGGCCTTTTGGATTGAAGAGTTAATGCAGTTCGGAAACTCTGTGGGCGTGGATCAAGGGCTTGTTTGTCTGGCGTATCTCGAGCTTCTTGGTGAAACTTTTGGATCGCAGGTTTATTGTTTCTCTTGGATCGAATTGTCAATTATGTTCGTTTTCTTTGCTTTTGAGACTGGTTGAATCTTGAAATAGAGGGCCGAGGGGCCTAGAGATTATTCAATGGGTGGGTTAATTAAGATCGGAAAGCGTCGTTAACTATAAAATGTAGATAGAGAAATTGTTATACTTTGGACTTTTGGCTTTTGGAACTTCTAAGGAAAAATCAAAGATTCATCATGCCGTCCTCTACTAATATATACAAGAGAGTGTCTTTGTGATTGTGATTGTGAATGTGAAAGGGAAATATGTTCGAAGAAGAATTAAGCTCGTCCTTATATACTTTAGAAAATAAATGATTTATTTATAAAGTCTTACATTTTTGTAAAAGTGAAGTCCAGTTCAAGAAAAATTAATTAGGAGTGGACGTGATTCCATTTAATTTGGGTTCCAAGAGAATCGAACTGAACTATGAACTAATAATTTTTTGATAATGAAACCAAATGATTTTATTTTTTTATGATATGGAATCAAATCGGAAACGAACTATTTGGTTTTGGTTTGATTTGGTTATAGTTACATAGTGATTGAGGAAAAAAAGAAAGAACATTTGAGGAAGAAAAATCAAAGGTTAAGACTTTAATTTCAAAAATTCATTGTCAGTGGCGGCTAAGCACGATAGTAGACAGCATGCGGCATATGTTGGTATTCAAGTGAGAGTCGGTGTATAAATTGAAAATGAGAGAAAATGATAATTGAATTAGGGTTCGAGTTTCCAAAATGATTTACGGTCTCCAATCTCCACAATGAGATATGAGAAATCAAAGATAACATGTTTTTGTCTTGATTTTCGGGCGCGTTCTACCACTGAGCTAATAGCCCGTCGTGCGAGCCTCCCACTGAGAACCCATTATGCCAAATCCCATTGGATTTCATTTGGAGAAGGAGCTTGAATTGTGAATTTTTTTTGGTGTGAATAGTGATTCACTAATTTGTACTAATAATAATAATAATGATAATAATAAATTTTTCTTAATTTTTAATCACACGATTCTATAAAAAAATCATTATTCCAAAATAATGGGGCTCAAATATGGGCTTATTTTGAAAATAAGTAATTGAGTACATGCAAGAACCGATTACAACAGTGAATATAGAGGTGGAGACAAGTGATGCACGAGCTGTTGATGTAGAATTCTGGCCAGCCTTGACCAGCCAATCAGACTCCACACGAGCCATTCCTTTATAATGCTAGCCAAGGTTTGGCTTGCAAGTTCGAGTTCTATCTGTGAAGTGCGATGACCTATGGCTCTTGATATGCATCCATCTTCAATTCAATGTCAACATAACATTCTGTTGATATTTTTTTCCTTTCCTAAATAATTTCAAACGTGTCCAACAAATTCAACGGCTAGGAGTCGAGAAAAATATAGGTGAACAATTTTGACAATGGAATCAACTAATTTATGAAAAGATAAATCCCCATTCGATATACGTGCAATATAGAATATATTCGTGTATTGAAAATTTCAATATGTTAAAATGTTGATTCTACTCCAAAAAAACAAAATCCTCAAGTTGCATTGACTATTTGTGGAATAATGATCGAGGATCAAAACATTGATGCCCATCTCGAAAATGTTTCAAAATCACCATGCAAACCTTCTAGAAATTGTTTCGAAATCAAGAGGTTACCATTGATGCCCATCTAAAAAAAAATCAATAAATATATTCAATTTTGATAAAGAGATCTCTTGCAGAAAAGTTAACACGTGGTCAAAACAAAAAACTATATGACTTTTTAAAGGACTTTAAATTCAGTTGAATGTCTGAATCGAAATATTATATTAATCGACACACACTGGCGGAGCCAGCACCCGGCGAGTGGGCGCAGCCGCCCGTGCTGGCTCCGGTAGGAAAGGATTTTCACGTTGATGTAGTTATTATGTTAAATATGTAAAATTGTACCATCATTCACAATTATGATTGTAGCTCATTTGGTAGGGCATTGGTTTTGCAAGTGAGAGGTAACCGATTCGACTCCTCTCCTTTCCACTTCTTCTTTTAATTTTTCAAATACAATAAATAATAGTTAAATAATTGTATACTATTTTGTTTTAACTAGCACTGATGTAGCTTTGTATCTCAATTGGGAATTCCATTTTTATCATATCAGAGGTATGGGATTCGATTCCCTTCACCTCTTCTTCTTCTTTTTTTCTTTCACTTGAAGACGAGAAAATCTCTCATGTATTCAAGTGGGAAAGAAGTATTCTCTTCTTGATTCTGAATGATCTCTATAGTAATAAGATGCCTCATTTGCCTATTTGGCAGACTGCTGTTTCTTTAATATTTTGAGTATGATTTTTTTTTTTGGGGGGTTTGGCTAGTTAGCCAAACAACTCAGTGAAGCGAGTTTTAAAAAATGTGTGATTAAGTAGTTAAAATTTAGCCAACTTTTTTTTTTTTTTTGGGTATTTAGCCAAACAACTTAGGCGAGTTTTAAAGAATGCGTGATTAAGTACTTAAAATTTGTGAATTCTATAAAATTTGTAGATAAAAATAGAGTTTTATCATTTTATAAGTTCCTATAAGCTTTAACAAATAGGATAGTTACAAAAAAGATATACTACATCTGTCCCACAAAAATACGCTTTGTTTTTTTTTCCCCCCTCCAAATAATGTCTTAATTTTTTAATATAATTTTGTTTAATTTGTATTGTTATCAACAAATATGAGCTACCATTTATTCAATTTAGTGGTAAATTATGAAAAAATGTAATTAAAATTTATAGTTTCGATATATATTAATTAAGTTTACTTAATTTGTGTAAAAATAGAGATAAGCTCATCTTCATGGGAGGCAAAGAGTACTAAAGAAAGAACATAACTTCGGTAGGTCAATGTTGGCCAAACGCTATCATTTTCTAGGGGTATCGTCTAAAATTTTGGTGAGTTCGGAACGCTCATGAACTTACACAACGTGACCACTAACTCATATATAGTTGTGTTACAAGCACTGGCGGAGCCAGCACCCGGCGAGCCGACACGGCCGCCCGTGCTAGCTCCTGCAGGAAAGGAATTTCACGTTGATGTAGTTATTATGTTAAATATGTAAAATTGTACCATCATTCACAATTATGATTGTAGCTCATTTTGGTAGGGCATTGGTTTTACAAGTGAGAGGTATCTGGTTCGACTCCTCTCCTTTCCACTTCTTCTTTTAATTTTTCAAATACAATAAATAATAGTTAAATAATTGTATACTATTTTGTTTTAACTAGCACTGATGTAGCTTTGTATCTCAATTGGGAATTCCATTTTTATCATATCAGAGGTATGGGATTCGATTCCCTTCACCTCTTCTTCTTCTTTTTAATTTTTTAACACAATAAATAATAATTAAACAATTCTATATTAATAGTTTTTGTTTCTAAAAAAATTTGTTAACTCAAATTATTACTTCATAGTATATACTTTCATTATTATATTTTATCAATTTATTTTGTAACATTCAAATTTGGACAATTTAATTACTGATCTTTATTATTTTAAAAGTTTGAAAAAAAGATTTCTTTTTTGGGGTAAAAATAGCTTTAAAAATCATTGCTTTAAAAATTTATTGACTGAAATTATTATTTCATAATATATACTTTAATTGTTAAGTTTTATCAATTTATTTTGTAAAATTCTTTGTTCTTCTAAGAGTTTGAAAAATACTTTTCTTTTTGGAGGCAAAAATAGCTCTAAAATTCATTGTTTTTTAATTTTTTTCTTTATCGATTAATCAATACATATAAACTTCATCTTGTCTCGCTTAAATTCATAAAAACTTGAAACTTGATAATAGGTATATGACTAAAAAAATGTATTTTTATTCTTTATTATTTTGAGTTGTACTGAATTATATTTTAATATTTATATTATTTTATATTTTAGTGCATTTATATATTGATTGGAGATTCTTTTAATATAAGTTAATTAAATATTAGTAAAGAATATCGCTATATTGGACGGTGTTTGATAAATGCTCCACTCTCCGCCCTAGCTCACTCGAGTAGCTGGATTCGTCTCTGTCGACACATCGAAAATATTTTTCTTGTAGTAGTTAAACGAACTCTATAAGTTGATTAAGAAATAAAATAATAAGTTGAAAATTTTTTACATAGGAAAATGTAAATGAATATGCTACATTTGAGGAAAATACTCATCTTCTTTCCAACGATGCCAAGAAAAAGCTAAACATGTCATGTGATACTAATGGGAAAAAAAGGTCTGAAATGCATTAGTATAAAATACAATACTTGCGTTAACATCTTCAAAGAACAAACCCAATAGCTCGTGAGATTTGACAAACATAGAAATATGCATTACTAAATAACTTCTCATGTTTTCAACATCGATCTCACCCTTCATTCCAATCCGCTAATATATTCTACCTTAATCTAACATAGATATTACGTTTAATTTATATTCTTCAATATATATTTATAATCTTATAACTATCTAAAGGGATTGGCTTCAGCAAAACATATGATGTGTTATTGCAAAATATATGGTGGTGAAAGGGTTGTTATGTGATCGACGAAATATCAAGACTTAATCCTCAGGAGCGTAATTAAACACAACATTATATGGAAGAGAACTTAATAGTATACAAACCACGAAGAAAACAAAAAATGAATAATAAAGATATCCGAGACAAGTGAAAAATCACTATTTTCTTAAGACAACATTACACCATAAAGGTGCTAACGGTCCAAAATACAAAGGATTCAACTTGTGATATAAGCACTTAAAACCTAATTTTCAACGAACTTAGAATGGAACATTCTCTCTACAAGAAAAAATGGATTTGGAATGATTTTAAAGAGATTTTGCAAGAGATTTTATGCAATGCTCAATACAAAAGTGATATAGGATGCATTTTAGACATCCAAAAGGTCCTATTTATAGGGGATGAGGGGTTGTGGGTGAAGTGTTGCGTACCAAACCTCACAATTTTACGAAGGGAAGCATCAGTTGTTGTTGATAGCCTGCCTCTCAAGCGTCAGTTTCAAAATTTTAACAGATCCTTTTTTGCCAACTGTCGTTAGCCCGTCACTCCAGGGATAGGCAAGCGACAGAATTAGGCAAAAATTCGGACCAATTTTTTCTCTATTTTTCTTCCAACTTTAGATCGCAATTTCTCATTCATTCGGAATTGATTTCAAAATTTCAAATATACCACGATGATTTACTCGACGAGTAGAGCAACTTAATCTATTTACATTTATAATTTAACTATCAAATT